ATTATATTATTTTATATTATATTTATTATAATTTTATATTATATGTATGTTATATTTATATTATACTGATATTATATATTTGAAATTATATATATATAATTTATATTTGCATTAAATTTTTAATGTATTAATATTAATTTTATATTAATAATATATTTATAATATATATTATTATGCTTACATTAAATTTTTATTCTATTTATATTATATTAACATTATATTTATGTTATACTTATATTAAATTTATATTGGTGATGTTATATTTATATTAAATAGAAATTATGTTTAAGTTATATATATATTATATTCGCATTATATTTAAATTATATTTATATTATTTTTTCGTTCTATTTATATTATATTTATATTGTACTTTCCTAATGTCCATTTTGTGTTTATATTATATATATATGTTATATTTATATTATATTGATGTTATATTTCAAGTAATGTGTATATTGTACTTACATTATATTTTTAATATATTTGTATTATTATATTTCAAGTTATATATTTATATTTTATATTTATATTACATTTTTAATATATTTATATTATTTTTATATTATTTTTATATTGTATTTATATTATATTTATATTATTTTTGTGTTATACATATATTGAATTTATTTTATATTTATGTTGCATTTACATATCAAGTAATTTATATTTTATATATACATTGTATTATTAATATATTTATATTATATTTTGTTATACTTACATTTTATTTTTATTCTATTTACATTTACATTTGTATTTACTCACATATATTTTTATTATTTATATATATTATATTTATGTTATATTAATATTGAATCTTATTTTTCTTACATTTTATTTTTATTCTCGTATATATATTATATACATACATGCATATTATATTTATATTATATTTTACTGTACTTACATCTTATTTTCATTATGTTTATATATTTTATTTATATTATGTTATATTATTAAAAAATATTATGTTATATTATATTATATTATAACGTTATTGTTAATGTTAATGTTAATCATTATAATTTATTGCATTATATTATATTTTATTATATTATATTATTTTATTTATATTATATTATATTATATATATTAATTATATTATATTATATATATTATTATTATATTATATATATTATATATAATATTATATTATATTATATTATATTATATTATATTATATTATATTATATTATATTATATTATATTAATTATATTATATTATATTATATTATATTATATTATATTATATTATATTATATTATATTATATTATATTATATTATATTTTGTTATGTTTTGTTATTATTTATTATTATAATATGTAATATATTAATGTTTCTAAATTAATATAATTATATTTAATTATATTTAATTATATTTAATTATTTTATATTATATTATATTATATTATATTATATTATATTATATTATATTATATTATATTATATTATACTAATCAAAATTTTCTTGCAGATAAATCTTAGAAGAAGCCCCACTGGATATCCTGTAAGTGATCAGTTATATTTACTAAGTATAAAGTCGCGTTCTTTAATATATGACAACAACACTCTATAATTTGTAATATATTGTTCATATATTATAATTATGTTTTTCGAAGTTATATGAATGCATGTTGTAAAGAAATTGTGCAATATGAAGTAAAGTTGCTCATAGACTTTAAAACTCTTATTTTGTTTCAGTCGTAGAATTATTAAAAGCATAAAATTATTAAAAGCATATTATAAATTTTTGGTGTAGTAATGTTAGCTGGGGCATTTTCTGGCCAAATCTAGTTGCATTGTTTAAACTTTAATATTTAATTATTAAATGTAATATTAATACTATTATGTTATAATAAAATATACATAGGACCTATTACATAATTATGTTAAGTTACATCCTATTGACCAATTTTCTGTCTTGTGGTTAGGTTGTATCATTTCTTCTATTGAACTCTTATATGTTATAGTATTTTATTATTATATATTATTATTATTATTTATGTAACTTTGTAGAAAATAAATATTGATAAATTTTGTTTATGCAAAATTAATTAAAATATATAGCTATTGAAATTATTTCTGTCAAATAATTACTATTTTTCTAGAATCTGTATTCAGGCGGAGCCGGTGGAGGTTCAATTCCTGTAAGTATTATAGGCAATTTTGAAATAAAATAGTGGAAACGTATGTATATAACTCATATTATGTATAAATTTGTAAAATATTTATAGAAAATTCAATTACAAGACGAATACGGAAGAATTGTGAGTAGAAAACATATGTTTCATATAAATAATTATGTTTACCGTTAATACATGAAATAAAAAATTTTTAATTTAAGGGCCCATGTCCGGAGGAAGTCAATGAAGTAAATTCATATATAATAAAACTATATTTTGTATTGTAAAGTTTTAATTTTAGTTACCATGTCCACCCAAAAATCGATCATTTCAAGTAAGTTCAATTTTGTAATATTTATTTTTAATTGAACAAGTATAGTAAGTTCATAAAATTTTAATAATTGAATTAAACTTAATATTGTAATATCTATTCCTACTAAGTCACCATGCCCAGCACAAGCTTCGTCAAATTTGGTAAGTTCATTAAATATTTATGCATTAAATTTCAAATGCATAAATATTTAAATTTCAAATGAGGTATTATTAATTTTAATTAAATAAATTTAATTACAGTTACAAGTTCCATCAATTCGAGTAAGTTCATTTAATCTATAATATATATTAAATTGCAATCTTATACCATACATTTTTAAACACAGCCGCCACGTCGCCCACAAAGTTCTTCTCGTCGAGTAAGTCCATTAAATTTTGATAGATCAAGTATCAAATTGAATATTATTAATACAATTTTATAACTTATATTTTACTACAGTCACCACGTCCAATTCAAAGTTCACCGAACGTTGTAAGTTTACGGAACGTTAATATAAAAATGATCAAATTAATAACATTTTTAATTTCAGTCGCCATGTCCAGCACAAGGTTCAACACAAACAGTAAGTTCATGAAAATTGGTTAAATAAATTATTATTAATTTAAATTTCAAAATTTCAATTAAGTAATATAAATAAATCATATGTAAATTAGATAATATGTCATATTAGAATTATTCCCCTGTCCAACCGTTGGTCAACTATTGCCATCTATTCTCAACATATTTTCCATTATATCATGATATATGATCTGATTCTCTTGTATATTATAATACTACAATTATGCTACTATTATGATTAGTGTCTAGTAAACCTTCATTAAATGTATCCGTTCATCTCGTGAGTAAAAGCCAAAGTTCTTCATTTAAGTTGGAATACTCTAAATATTCTATGTTTTATATAATAATCAGATTCAACAATAGTGTGATGAATAAAGTGGTAACTTTTCTAATTTTATCTATTATCTTCTAGTATTTTTTGAATCCTACGACTAACATGGATGTAGTAAAAGTGGTTTATTTTTATTTGTATAGTGGACAAATATTGCATCTACAATTATACAGATCTGTCATAAAATAAAGACTTTGATCGATATTATTATTCCTATATGGATTATATGATATGACTCATAAATTTTTTGCTAATATTATAACAAAATGTTATATTTCCTCCAAGATTAATCTTTGATAGTTAGACATAATGCTAAAGTATTCTTAGTATACCCTAAGATACTTCTCTACATATAGAACTTTAAGTATTTGTAACG